AAGAGAATAATGTATGTTTTCCTTTCTTGAAATTTACAAATGTAGCTCTTTCCTGCTTGTTCGTACATTTCATTTCATTTGATGGAAGTAGATGGGAGGCTAGGTCTTAAATGTCTTGTAAATGTATCAAGAATAAATCTTTGACAAAATAGATATATTATGTTTGAGATTGTACTAAGATTTTTTTTAGTGATCTAAGTGTTTTAAAGTTAATTGGGAAAGAATTAATAATTTTAGAACATTCACTTTTTGTAGAATATAAAGAAGTCATTGTTTAATCTTCAAGACAACAGCAAAAGTAAATTCTACTTAAACTATAATGATGGTTTAAAGTCAACTCCCAAGGTCCCAAGACTATTTATTTGCTTGGTTATATAACACATTGAAAGACTTTTCCCTAGAAATTATTAATGATTTATGGTCAGCTGAAGACTTTAAAAACAAATAGGTCATAGCATTTTTAACCTCTATCTTTCTATTAATACAAAACATTTTAAACCAGTTGAAATGGGCTGTGTAGTCATTCTGTGATTGAGAAAACCAGTTCAAGGTATTAATTCCAATATATATGCAATCATTCCCAGATGGAAGTTCCTTCACTTAAGAAATCAGGACTATTTAGAATATCAGTAGTCCTTCCAGAATGCCTGATTAGAAATCTTTGTCAATCATATCAAAACCCAAATGGTTCTTTCCAGTTGGAAAGGTCTCATTGAATCTGAGTAGCAGTAGACTTAACCAACTATGAGCAGGTAAGATTTCTTTCAAAAAATGTAACCCTGTACTTAAGCTTGGGATACATAGAAATACAAAGTGTTAGAGTATTTCAGGTTTTGTGCAATTATTGAGCTGATGAGTGATTTACAGTGTTTTTAAAGCTGCCCAGCCAGTGTGGCTCACTTGTTGTGCATCGACTCATGCACCAAGAGGTTGCCAGTTCGACTCCTGATCAGGGCACATGTCCAGGTTGTGGGCCAAACCCCCAGTGGGGGACATACAGGAGGCAGCCAATTGATGTTCCCTCTCATTGATGTTTCTATTTCTCTCTCCCTCTCCCTTTCTCTCTAAAATTAATAAAAAATAATAAAGCTTACACCCAACAAACTTTATATATACTAAAGAAAATAAAAACAAAAATAAACCCCCAAATATTTCACTTAAATAAAAAAAGTGGGAGAATGGGAGGGTGTTTCTGAAATTAGCCTTTTATATTGGCAGCCTGGGTGGAAAGAAGTGCTGCGCAACATTCCCAGAAAACATGTAAATTGCATGCTGTGAGTTTTCAATTAAAAAATGCAATGATGGGACATTATTAGGTGACCTAAGAGATGTGACAAGCATGAGCTGGGGCAGAGAGCTCCACAAACCCCATTTTTGCTAGGGTGAAGAAAACTTTACTTGATTATTGAAATAGAAAGGTAAAGATATTCATATGGGATTGTTAGGTCTTCTTGGTATCAATTAGATATGTCTTTTGACATATAGTTAAAAGCCTGTGTTATACCCTGTGACTGCAACAAGTGGTTAGAGTGTTCTCAGGGCTCAGTGATAGAATGGGCACAGCAGCTCACAGCAACTTTGCTTTAAAGATGATAAATATTCTCTCAGGGGGTGCTTTGGGAATAAAAAGAGTAGCATGCATTTTTTATTAGAAGCCAAGGAAATCTTTCATGCAGGGAATTTGCTGCTCTCGGTGGAGACTAGGCTAACTTATTTATCATTGAGGATTTCCCCTTTTTGAGAGGATGACCATGTAGAGTCTTAAATAAGAGATGCTGACACAAAATCCAAGAGTAAGCATAAATCTACCCATTCCTATGAGATCTATTAGTTTTAGGTCTAATATGATAACTTTTTTTTTTTTTTGCTAGAGGCAGGAGAAGGTGAAGAGGTGAGAGTAAGGAAAAAGTAGACTTTTCTGTTTAAAACTTAGAAACTATTTTCATAAAAATATTCTAATACTGCAACAAACTACTATTTATTAAGCCAGGTGATTTTTTTTGGCTAATGTGACTGAAGGAAATTCAGGGCTCCTGGTAAAATCAGGGCTGGGCAATGTTCACATCAGGTGCTGTCTCACTTTCATAGATTCAATTCAGATGGAGGCATTTAGAGATTTGGGGCAGGATTTAAAACTTTTCTTAGGCTTCAATCGATGTAAATGGATTCAGACATGCAGTAGAACATGGAAAGGCAGAGAGAGAGAAAAAGATGTGTTTTGCAGTTATTCAGAATTGTGATCTTTTACCTCATTGAATACTCACAGCTATTATGAAAAGTTAGCTAGTAGTCTTTACATTTTACAGATGTGAACATGGATGTTCAGTGAAGGACAATAACTTGCCCAAGATCACATATCTTGGGATGCCAGACTACAAAGACCAGTTTTCCTCTGACCTGCACTTTCTTGAAGACTTTCTGCAAACCCGAGATGTACTTAAAAATTTCTTGGGTGTGACATGTGGTTGGAGATACCCTCTGGCCTAAAGCAACCAATCTATATGTAGTATGTTGGTGAAATGGAATTCCTAAATTGATAAACTGGCATGGTCAAAGGTCTGCTTAAAGTTTAGTATATTTGGTTATTATTGTTCTTGATCATTGTCCAACTCTGTATTATAGCCTGATTTCACAGCAGTCTGAAAGGCTGATGGATGGAGACAGCAAAACATACCAATAAAAATGTAAGATATGTATATGAGATTGGACTTTACAGGTAACTATGAACACAGTGGCTACTCACATCAGTGCATGCGAGAAGTGGGCTGTGCCAATATCTCTCATGCTTGTAGGAAGAGAGAATAATCTGACTCAGCATAAGAAGTGGTATTTTTTTTGGGGGGGGGTCAAGCATTTTAATTGGTGCTCAGCACCACAAGCTGCCAAAAAAGCATTACTACATCTCTGTATTTTTAAATGTCTAATTATTCTTTCCTCTTCTGGACTTTCGTTCTTAAATACAGTAAAGTGCTATAGTTTGATTATATTGATTATAACCTGCATTAATCTTGCAAAATAAGCATTAGATTTCAAAAGACCTCATTCGAATCCAGTATAAAGAACAAGCATCCACTCTCGGTCATTCCTGAAACAATATTTCATGCTTTCAATATAGGCACTTTAGAAAACTATAAAGGCCAAACCCTCTCTCTTTATCATTGTGATTAGATATCTAAGTGTCAGTGGCAATTAGCTCCTCAAATCCTTCAGGATTTAACCTTGAAGGAAAGAGCCAAGACCTTACATCAGCAATTTTCAACCAGTGTGCTGTGGCACACCAGTGTGCTGCAAGAATTTTTGAAACATATATCTGACTATTTAGTCAGGGGCACTGACCACTTTTCCCTGTTAAATAAAAAAAATGACAACAACCAACACAACAGTAGCTGTCCAGTGTGAATTACTCAAAAGTTTGTGTGTGTGTGTGCATTTTTTTATCAGATCGGCAAAACATATATTTTAGTGTGCAGCAGAAATTTAGTAATTGTTCACGTGTGACCTGAGATGAAAAAGATTGAGAAGCACTGGCTTACATCATGGAGGGAGGGCACTGAGGAATGTCTCAGGGTACCAGAACCTGAATTGTTTTAGTGATTGGGAGGAGAAGGGCCTTTGGCTAATGTGACTGAAGGAAATTCAGGGCTCCTGGTAAAATCAGGGCTGGGCAATGTTCACATCAGGTGCTGTCTCACTTTCATGGATTCAATTCAGATGGAGGCATTTAGAGATTTGGGGCAGGATTTAAAACTTTTCTTAGGCTTCAATCGATGTAAATGGATTCAGACATGCAGTTGAACATGGAAAGGCAGAGAGAAAAAAGAGCAATCACTCAGAATTCTGAGTCAGCAACAGGGCCACAGTATCCTTTTCCACATGTGGCTAAAACGTATTTTCTCTGGCAAGATCCTACAAGAGGACTTTTTTATACAGAGGAAATGGCCCAGGCATGAAAGTTTTTCTTATATTTATTCAATATTTAAAAAAAAAAAAACACATCAATTTAATGTTTTGGAATGTCTTTTAAATATACAGAGATTGCAATTAGTGACTTATTAACTTCTTCACCTGTATGCTATAAAATGTTACCATGAATGAGTCTCTCAGATAGTTAGCCTCTTGATCCTAGTTTGACATTTTAAAATAGGATTGAAGATCAGCATTAGTCTCAACAATTCAAAGGAGAAATGCTATGGCCCCAAGGAAAATAGTCTCATTGGGTGATAAGCCTGCTCTCTGATTTTCCTTCAGACACCCATATTAAAATGTTTTTCAAATTTTGTGATTGTAAAATCCTTCGGTATTTCTTATCATGAATAGAGTTACTCTGTCCCTTTTGGAGCTGAGTTTAAGTCAGTTAGTGGTGGTAGAAAAATGGCTAGACTTTCCCCATGTACTCATGCTATTATGATCGTATCCGGGCCAAAATGTATTTTATTTATTTATTATTTATTTATTTATTTATTTATTTATTTATTTATTTATTTCCATCACCATTTATCCCCCCTTTACCTACCTGCACCTCCACTACCCGTCCCCACACCCCACAATCACCACACTGTTGTCCATGTCTATGAGTTCTCTCTCTCTCTCTCTCTCTCTCTCTCTCTTTTTTGCTCAATCTCCCTCCCAAACACCCCCACCCTGACAGTGTCAGCCTACTCTCTATCTAGGATTCTTCCTCTGCCTCTACAATTTACAAAAACACCTGGCTACACCCTCCTAGCTTTTAGAATAATCAGCAGAGGCAGTGCGAGTGGTCGCTTAAACTGCTGGCAGTTCTTTTCATTATACTGTGAGCATGTCAAGTCTACCTCTCTTTCTCCTTGGCTGCAAACGTCTTAATTTCGGTCTAAATTGGGATTAGTGGCCTGACAGCAAAGAAAGTAAAAATTAAGGGCATTCCCTGATTGAGGTATTCATCTTTTTACCTAGTCTCTTTTTCTCCCATAAAAGAGACACTGTAATGTTGCTATAAATTGGCTGAATGTTTTGTGTCCATGTTAATCCTTGCAGAAAAATGATGCCCGGGACTTCAATTTCCAGAATATAGCTTCACTGCCTGTGCAGCTGTTTCATAATAAACAACTTACTATAGTGAAGTATATTTTTAGACTACTTTCTTTAACTAATACACTTTAAACTGATAAGAACAGATACTACACTTGATCTTAGCCAAAAGGCCAAGAAGCGATTAACTAATACACTTTAGAGTGTTGTTTATTTGGGAATTTATGAGTAAGAAATGAGTTTTCAAATGCTGATCTCTTGGAGAAACTCTATAGGAAAACTGGGGATCTCTCATCTGCCTACATTCACCTGGCTATAACTATTTCCAGAAATTAATGACTGTTCACTTCCACCTTCCAAACATTCTTTGCTAGTTCCCCTCACAAGGAAGTGGATGCCAGGAAATATTGTTCCAAGTCTCAGCAGGAGTGACAGTGGTTCCAGGCTAACAGGAGTTCATCAATTAAGGTTTCAAACTATGTCAGTGCTGCTGTCAAAAATCACCCAGCAACCACTGCACACTAAAACAAATATGCAACAGGAAGGATTCTAGGCACCAGCATCTCCTACACCTCTGAGCAACCTGGTCTCCCTCACGCCCGATAGCTGTGACCACATGCACATACAGAATACTGGGATCCCAGGTCTCTTTGGCAGCCCTCAAGTGTGGCACTGGAGAGGACCCCTTGGTGAGAAGGAAAGGATACCTTTAAAGCCTGTACACCAGGAGCTAGGTAGAAAATATCAGATGAGCATTTCCATGTATATATTTTATGTCTGGTGTATGTTAGTGTGCCTAGACATAAGCCTATATCCTGGCATGTAGAAGGTGCCTAATACATTTGTGAAATAAATAAATAAAAAATAGGATTGCCTTGACACTTCTTAGCTTACTATATGTTTCTGCTCTTTCTATATTTGCTACAAAGCATGGTTTTTTTTCTTTGAATATATATATATATATATATATATATATTTTTTTTTTTTTTTTTTTCTTCCAGAAATGCTGATCATGTTCCCCTCGGCTTCCCCTGGTTATCTTTTCCCGCCGTCTGTGTTCACTGCTTGCTCTTTCTTTAATAATTCGGTCTGAAATGAATGAAAAACCAAAGTATTGCCCAATACATTAGATCCACAAACTTCTGTGCAAGGACTTTATGCCACCAGGTTCAGCTGTTAAGCAGACTCTGTTCTTCATCCTGATTTTGGGGAAAGTTGAGAAGAATGAATTTACTGGCTGAATGGACTCTGGGGAAATAGGGCAGCATTGCCAACATATGGCTGCACGTTGTATTTTCTAGTATCCATCTTTCTTTCCCCCATTGCTATTAGCAAACTTCCTAGTATTTAAAGCAGGACTGTGTAAGGGTATTGATCCCCAAGCAGGGTATTGATCTTAGCGAACATCACTGACACCATCTGCATCTGTACTGAGATGTCCCTTCCAAATAGATGTTCTTCTCCAATGCGTGCTCTTGCTCCCTGTTATAATCACAAAATCTCTGGAGCTGGAAAATCTGTACCATATCATAGCTCTGTTAGCTGCTAAGCATAGGGTTATGGGTCAGTTCACCCAAGCTTTATGAGGATCGTGTCCCTTAAAAAATGCCAACTTAGCTGGATTGTTGTGAAAATAAAATGAGATAAGTAAGATATTTAAAATGTCTAACCCACTGTGAAACACAGTCGATATTCAACTTATGACAGCTAATTTTAACACCATCAGTGGCACTGCACCCACAAAGTTATTGTTAATCCAACAGAAAACACACCCTTCTGTCCATTATTTTCATGGAGCAGATCCTATTTTTCCTGAGAAACATTCTGAGTCTTTCCATCCCTTTCTCCATGTCTTTCTCGTAGCCTCATCACTGTCCCATGGGCTTGTAACATTGCTTCCTTCTCCCAGGCTTCCTGACTTCAGTTCATTTTCCACAATGATGGTAGAATTTGCTCCTAAAAATAAGCCTGATGAGCACTCTTTTCTTGCACTACACCTTTTGTTTGGCTCTCTATTACTTAGTTAAACTGCTTTATTTTTTATAAGTCTCCTCCAAGACTTTTATTTCCTGATATGAATCACGAATCTCTAAGATGGGGACAGATGTCACAGTTTTACTAAAGTATTGTTCCACTGAACACTATTTTTTAACAGAGCACTGTTGGGAACCGATTACACAGGAACGCACAGGGCGATGCTGCCTCCAGTGGCAAGTCCAAACTTCCCAGCACAAATGCACAAAATCTGCTGGGAATCCCGCTCTTCAATCTCAGCTTCCTCTAGCTCCACACTCACTTTTTGTTACAAACCTACTGTTCTCACATAACAGTCTTTGTAGCTTTGTCTCTCCTTTGTAGACAATATTACTGGCCTCTCAACACTCATTTCAAATCTTCTGCCATACTTCACATGCTATTCAATCTGCTCAACTTGATGACCTACTGGTGTTTTAAGAAACAGCTTCAGTGTTATTTTCTCTGAAGCTCATTCATTCTTCTATCTCCTGAGCAATGTGGAGACTTTGGGAGCTTATACAGAAGAAGAACTGTGTCATACCACTCATAATTTTGTCACAATGCTATGTAACACTGTCTCCCTCATTAAAAATAAACTCCACATGGGCAGGTATGATCAGGTTTCATTCATTTTGTAGCTCCTTTTCTAATTCATACACACACACACACACACACACGCATATGTTTATGCATATGCGTGTGTGTGTATAGTGTGTAATTAATGTTTACTAAAATATTTGTTAAATATGCCACAGCTAGAAAGGTATGTCACACACACACACACCCCCCCCACACACACACATACACACACACACAGTCACCACCAAATGGTGTGGTTAATGATTTTTATCTTCAGGAAAGCAAGCAATTACTTCACAGGATCATTATTCTTTGGAAATCCCTGATTTCTCTATTCCCAATCATACACATCTTATAAACTATACTCTTTGGTGACCATGATCTCTCTAAACTCACTGTGGACTATTCTGCTGAACAAGGACATGATTCTTATATTTTGTTCCAAAGTCAATAGAAAACCATTCTCAGTTGACACTTAAGGTTCTTCTTGAGCTTCCCCAGGGGCAACTCTGATGCAAAAATGCAAAAGAAACCTCAGGTCACTTTTTTGAAAACCTAGTTTGCCATTATTCATTGATGACCTTCAAACAAATGCCTGCTCCTCTCTCAGACACTCAATAATGATTTCAATAGAAGAGCATCTCTGTCACATTATACACCTCTCTGTGAACAGCATCCAGGTACAGTCATTACAACTGTTTTATGAATGTGCTAGAGAAAGGGCAGGCTGCCCAAGATGCATCCTCACGATTGCTCGAAACAACACCCCAGACATAAAAAGAAAGAATCCCTCGCAGATTGCAATGTGTACAATTTTGTCTGTTTTGCACATCCTCTGCAGCTGTGCTTCATGATGCTATATTTAAGCAAAATATCTGTACTAGAATGAGTCACTAGCAGAGGAAATTTGGGAGGTTATTTTAAGGAGTTGGCTGCCGTAGTTGACAAGATTCTCTCTATCCAGGGTGAACTCTGCCTATCTTATAGTCAATGGGAAGTGGCATGAAACTACTTGCTGGAATTTATCCTTTTATGCATTGTAAGATTTATTCAGAAATTAGCAAACCCTCATTTTCTTTAGAAAGGGATTAGTGTCACTTTGTGCTGATTCTCTTAGAGTCACACCTGCCATAAAGTTGGGACTTTAACAGTTAAGAGAAGCTTTTGCAAAGGTGTATGTGGCAACCCAGTACTTCTTTCCGTATACTCCTCCTTCCTCATTCGGAGGAAGGTGATGGTTAAACTGTAATTAATGGAGAGACATTTATGCAGCTGAAATGTACACGACCAATCACTTATCAGTAGAATGCACATCCAAATTTCAGAGGCACCACCAATTTCTCATTGTCAGACAGAAGGAATATGTTAGACAAACTCTGCCTAACAAAGAAAGAAAATAAAATATCACATGAATTTACTGACTGACGAAGAGAGAAATGTGAAACATAATGACTACCCAAGGGAAAAAATTCTTTAGGTTGTTATAAAATGCTTTGTTTCCAAAGATATGTAAAAGCAACACCTTATGAATAAGTCTTCCATTTGGAGCTCAGTGAAATCTCTGGAATAGGAGAGGCAAAACTATATTATCTAATCTCACAATGCGTGGTCTTCTCAAGGAAGTGTCTACAGTGTGCCCGCAGAGTTCAGCCGCTCCATTAACACCTTCTCTGAAAAGCACTATCATATTTTTCCGGAAACCAGTGAAGCTTAGATTTGTCCAAATCTATTTGCCAATTACACACATCAAATATTTGTATATTCCTGAAAATAGAGATGCTGATTACATTTCATATCTTTCTCATACATGTTGAGTATTTTAGCCAATTTTTAAAATTCCATCCAAGCCATTTCCCAAAATTTACCTCTAGTGTGGAACAACTTCTTGTCTCCAACTTGCTTATTTGTCTTTCTGAAAATTCTACTTGGAATACATGTTTACCTAGTTTATAAGTTAATCTGTGCTAGATTTATGTTTCTTTAATGGTTGTTCCTCATATTTTGTTTCTTTTTCTAAAATAAACTCTTTTATATTAGAATGATTTTGGATTTATAGAAAAGTTGTGAAGATAGTAAAGAGAGTCCCATGTACTCCCCTCTCAGACTCCCCTATAATTAGCATCTTACATAAATACAGTATATTGGCCAAAATTAATAAGTCCGTTTGATGGACACATATAGAAATATTTATAGATATGTTTGATCACCTGGCTGAAGTAGTGTTTGTAGGGTGTCCCCATAGTAAAGTTCCATTTCATCCTCCTCCACCTCCTCCCTTGAGAAGGAAATCACTAGGTACAGACTACACTTAACGAGTAGGAAGTTATGCTCTATCTCCTTGAGGGTGTAATAACTACATAATTTCTTTGAAATACGTTTTTTGCTAGAGATTTTTGCCTATTCTTCCCTATTAATTTATTTATGAATATAGTCTGCATGATATTACAATGGTGAACTTGATACTATGAATTTCTAAATATCCATTAAACTTTACAGGACAAAAAGTGAATCTGAGTGTATACAGTTAAAAAAAATACAATTAAAGAGGCTAGAAGAGTATAGGATGAGTAAATACCGTGATAACAAAATA